AATGCGAACTAGTCTTCAACTCAACATCGGTATCATCGCAGCTTGCGCCTCCTACCTCAAACCTCTATTCGGTCGCCTCTTGAAGATCAACAGCTCAGTCGACTACTACCCTAGCAACGAACGCTACGGCCGAAGTGGTCAGACGCCCCTTGGCTGCGGTGCCTCTCGCAACACCCCCTACGCGAGCGGTAACAGGAGGACCAGCAGGATCCCGCTGGATCGCAGTTTACATGACGAGTTCGAGATGCATACCAAGGACGAGTTCAGTGTAACTGACAGATGTGTTTCTGGCATAGGTACTAGAGCTGACGTGGTGCGCTCGCCGATCGCTATGAAAGGCCGATGTTCCGCTGAAGCTATGTATGCTGGTACTTTGCCTTCCGATACGAACAGCGAGGAGATTATACTACAGAAAGAGCATGGAAGAGGGATTGTCTGCACGAGGGACTTTAGTGTCAAATACAGCGAGAATGATAGGTTTGGGCCAATAGGTTCATCGAAGTCATAACAAACATGGCAGGGCACTTCTTCTTTAAGGTATTGGCGTAGGAATCATATATAGTGTTTGAACAACATTGAAAAATGTTATGGACAGGAGAGATATTTCCCGATGTCTCCAGTTGATGATTTCTCATTGAGGCCTAGGGACGCATACTTCTTCAATAGCTACTCTTCATTCCGTTTGGTCGTCATCATAGTCAAGAGAGTTGCATTTCCCCTAGCGAGACTCATCCGCCCGGGAACTACTTTATTCATAAGGTGAATCTTCATCTCCCAACTGCCTAACTGTGTGTGAGATTCCTACCGGGAGCAACTGAGTCCCAGCGAATTCAACGGCACGCAAGCTGCAAACTCTCATTTTGCATGCCATGGTCGTGTGCCTCAGATAGACTAGCGGAGGCGGCACAGGGATGTTCGCTATGCGGCTGTTTACCGATTCCGATGCCTGGTCATGGATCCTCGTAACAATGGGCATGCCAGACCTGAAAGCCGGCGGGAAACCTCGGCACTTGCCAGCCATCTCCTGGATCGGGTACAGGAAATGAAACGCCCAGCTGGGGTACGACGATCTCGGACCCGGCACCGAACCAGCACCAAGATGTCGGGTTCTGATGAGCTGAGATCTGCTAGTCCCGGATGTATGCCCACCGGGATGCGTTATCGAGTCATACGTGGAACCAGTGGAAGAAGTGTCAAAGCGGATTCCGTCGGCGACGAGCCAGCGGTAACGTTGCTGCATGTCAGCGGTTGGAGAAGTTGAGAAAAAGGCACGCGCCGGACTCGTGCGCCAACACGTCTGATGACGCACATGCATGATGCACGGCGCCGTGAACGGTCCCTTGCGATGCCCACTCTCTCGACTCGCTGCACATCGGTCCAAGTAGAACAGCTAGAACACATGAGCGGCTATAGATAGCTTGCCAACATGCAACGGCTAGTAGCTAGCCAATGTTCAGAAGTGTGGCCGCGGCGACATCATCTTCCCGAGGGACCAGGTCTTTTTCCCACAGATTTTACAGTCTGATGTCTTCAGTTAGATATTTCTCGCCCACTGGTGAAACGCAAAATTGAATGAGCAACATGATCTTGCCAATGAACGGTTAATTCGTAAATTATAAGGCTATCGATTCCAAGGGAAGACCCTGATCTTCGGCCCGCAATCGAGGAGAATCATAGTCTCAAAGATGGCCGTCAAGCCGTTGTTCCCCTCCCCCGCAGAATGTACTTCGGTATCTTCGTGAACTAAGCCAGCATAAAAGCCGTATGATTGGCCATATGGCGGGTTTGTCCCCAAACTGGCAGCCAGCAGACGGGCCCACGCCGGTCTGAGGGCCCGGGCCCGTTCGTCACTTGTCTCGGTGGGAAAGTGGGGTTTCTTTGCGTAGTCTCGATCCGGGAAGGAGGCACTGAGAACTGCCATTGATTGAGTGGCAGGTTGGGTCTTGCCTTGTGACAAGACCGATCTTAGCTCCTGCTTCAGTACCTTTACCGGCTGCACGTCATTCGCCACTCTCCTCCGAACCACTCAGCCGATGGGTTCTTCGTTCTTTCCCAATCGTTGTTGGGCAGGCACCAGGTAAGAGATACAGAAAGGCAGGAGGCGGGGTGACGGAGGAGCTTCCCTCTACCACCGGCGTCAAAGCTAGCATCGCTGGCTGGAACTTGGGGCTGCTGACTAACGACTTCCATGCTCGGGGAAAGAACATGTGGTCTGTTTGACTGGCCCCAGCCGTGAGGAAGGAGCCAGACGGGAGGTGCTCTCGCTCTTGCTTCCCATCTCGCCCGGTTGTTTCCTTTCCATCAATGATGCTCCAGGTCGCCATTAGATAATCATCGCCATTACTTAAACCACCAAATCACTTGCCACCCACAGCCTTTGACTTCTCCCACCTCCATCACCACTTCACTGCACAATCAAACAATCAACGACTTCGGTCCACAATCAAGGCAAACAGAACCACCTTCAAGTCACTTCAAACGACTCCACCAACTGTCAACATGTCTGGCTGCGGATGCGCTTCCACCGGCTCCTGCCACTGCGGCAAGGACTGCACCTGTGCCGGTTGCCCCGTAAGTTCCCCCCCTAGACACTGATCGCACCATCAGCCACCAAGATGATGTTACTGACACTCCTGCCACAGAACAAATAAGCATGTTCGAAGCTTTAACTGATCGCCATGCTTCACGGGTGGATCTACGGGTTGTTTGGACGGATTGACCACATGGTTTTCGAATGGTTGCATGCAAACAGATGCAATGGAACTTTCTCCCTCACCCCCTCACTTCAGCCCTATTGTCAATAGTCGTTAGGCAGAGATTCACAATGCAAAGTTGATATCGATAGTCCTTGCCTTCCTCGTGCGGTGCAATCCCTTGTCGTATAGTTGTGTCACCTCGATCCCGTCTGTGCTGACCTGTCGTTAATATGTACGACGCCAGATCCATATCACACCCAGTCATACTGCTACGCATCATCCATGTACAACGCGACCTCGCACTCCTCAGTCCACGGATCGCACTCTGATAGGGATAGCGCCTTGCACCCAGTGCTCAATCCATCTCTTCTTCCTTTCTCGTATAACGACCAGCTCAACGTTCCAACGACCCTCGCGACGTAAAAGAACGCAGCAAAAATAGACCAGGCATATTCCCACTTCGCAATCATACACCAGCCCCGATTCTCTGGCCACGCTTCGTCACAGCTTCGGGTGAGATACCACGGCCTCTCGCTGAAGTGATGAGGGTCGCTTAGATCGGGTTCGTTATGCGCGGCGGCACTGCAGGCCCATAGGACGCCGAGGAAGGCGTCGTATGCGAGGTTCGTCCACCGGGCTTCGTATTGCAGGACCGCCATCGTTAGGCGGGCGAAGAAAATCGTCGCTCCGAGGACCGCGGTGGCCATGTCGGAAGTCGTCAACCTGGATGAAGCGATGGGTTAGCGTTGAAGCTTCAGCAGAGTGATGGAAGCATGCGGAACCTCACCTCTGGCTCCATATCAAGGGTATCTCGGGTGGCTCTTCATGGTTGGCATAGAAGTATATCCGCATTCTGGGATTCGAACACCATCCTTGCTCACCGCCGTTCCTCCAGAGTCGCGAGCGGAAGCGATCTGGGTACGCCACGCCGAATAGCACGAGAGCGGCGAAGACGACGACAGCTTCGATACACAACAAGACCACAATCAGGTCTGGACGATGGATCGATCCTCTCAGTCTCTGGCTCATGATTAACAAATTCTTAAAGACCAAGGTATTGTGAATAAGAAGGTATCGGCTCTTCGGAGTGCAGAACCGAATACGCAGACGCAGATACGAACGCCATGATGCCTAGAAGCGGCATCGCAGCGACGGCCCAGGCTCTCTTATTCGATAAAGGAAGCTCGTTTCGCTGGTGACGACGACAATGACAAGGGAACTGAATGCCTCAAACTTGCTCGATATTGGGGGCGGGGAGGTGGTTCGTCTTTTACATCCCGAGGACGGCGACTTCGGTGCTGGGGCGACTTGACTTTTAGGCGTGGGGAGACTGACTGGTGAGGTGGTGAGGGGTTCGGGAAACTTGCTCATTCTTGCGCAGTTAGGCGGCTTCCACATGCCGCATGACAGACCACCGATCTCTTGTTGTCTGCCAAGAGGCTCTGTGTATGGAAAATTAAGTAGACTTGCTTTTTCTCCTGCTTCTGCAAGTCATTTTTGGCAAGGTTCACGTACGGGTGAATGCATGCCCACAGTCGTACGGTCCGGCCCGCATCACCTCATTTCGGGCACCTGAGGAACCGCCGATTCCGCACCGGGCCCGAGAACTCTGCACTCCAGACGTCGAGCCTTCTGGGTACCGATAGAGCTTGTCTTTGTGACTCTCAGATGATTGATGGATTTTTCTCCAGCGTCAAACGATGAGGAGCCGTTCGGCCTTGCTCGACTTCAAGCTTGGCTATTAATTACCTGAAACTGGACCTGGGTCGGAGGAGGGGACTATACGCTGTCTTGCACTTCATCTCATTGGTAGCTTGACCTCTTGAGAAGTGTCAAGAGCTATGTACAACTAGAATCTCAATGTCATCGAAGACTCATTGTAAGAAGGTGGCAGCTGCCAGTCGCTATCTCCTAACGTAGAGTCTAGTCTCCAGCTGGGCCCTAAATCAAAGATGACCGTATCTTCTTCGGCGTGCTTGCAGCTGCTGACCGCCATAACAAGCTTGCTTTCCTTCTTTCATTTGGTGTTTTTTCTTGAGTCTGAAGCAAGGGTTCGACGTTAGCTACCCGTAGCTCCAAAAATGTGATCTATTGAGGAGAGGAGGACATACCAGATCGTGCTCTGCACCACACCGAAGTGAGCAAGCACCCTGGGCAATAGTCCGAGCTTTCACAACCAACTCACTGGTACCAGCAAGCAGTAACAACCCCAAACTCCTCTCTCTGCCTCCTCAAAAGCTCATCCCTTTCGTGCCTGATAGCAACAGCATCTTCCTCCTCAAGGAACCCCATTGCTACGCCCAACTAAGACGCAACAATCGGTCTCGGCATCCCCATGCCACCAAACAACAACGCGCCAGGAACCTCGGCGTAGGCGAACGAGAGCAGCTCCGCCGTGAAGCGCGAGATGTCGAATTGGTTGAAGGTATGATCGTGCACACCTTTAATCTTGAGGAGGTGGCGGCGGGTGCGGTAGTACGCCATCGTAGCCCAGACGTAGCTTCGCTCGGCGACGCGAGCCGACTCGGCGGTCATCCAGTCGAGGTAGCGCGTTAGATGTGGGATGAATGCGGGCGGCACCGTCAGGACGCGGATGAGACCTACGAGCTGGGCGTGGGAGCGAACGCGGGTGATCGTGAGCCGGTCGCGGGAGTAGGCTGTCGGACAGGTTGTGAGGGGGCGAAGGCGATAGAGAATACCGCTTTCATTGTCGATATCAGCGCTTCTTCTGGCGTATTGATTGCCATTCGTGAGAATGAGCTCATCGATGGTTGAGTTGGAGGTGTGCCAGTAGAGGTCCCAGTGAAATTCTTCAGTGGAGAGGCCCTGGGAGACCATGAGCTCGTAAGTGCAGAAGGGGAAATTCGGGTCGTCCGGAAGACTGGTCGCGTAGATGTGTTTCTTCTTGCCGAAGTAGATGGAGAATGGGATCGAGATCATGATGTAGAGGGATCCGACTTCGAGTCTGTCCATGATGATCGGCGGGTGGGTTGAGGGCGAGTAGGGCGCTGCTGGAGACTCCATTTCGATGACGCTGAAATTTCTCAAGGAAGAGGAATGGTGTTGGAGTGAGGTTGATATGAGAGTCAAGGAGGTGAAAACGAAGTGAGAATGAGGATGAAGGTGGAGGATGGGTTGAGTGAGGTGTGTGGAGTAGATAAGAAAGACATGCCCATATTCAACATGATGATATCGAGGTTAGTAAGAAGAAACGAAAGAAGAACCCTGTTTCAAATTGAGAAATTCATTACCCGAACGCTATTCATGTAACACGCAGCTACCAGTACTTCTAGACCAGGCCCCGGCAAAAAACATGAATTTCTCAGCTATCACATCTGAGCCTCTGAGGTACCTGCCTCCTTAGTCGCGCTTCACAAGAACAGTCGATGAACAAAAAGAACACTTGTCTTCCCACTTTCCCCCCTCCCCCCCCCCTTTGAAAAAAAGACAAAGAAAGAGAAAAGAGATAAATAAATATATATATATATATATATATATATATATCTATAAAGGCTTGCAAAGCCCCCAAGTTTCAACTCAAGAGTATCTTGCTAGTTTCTCGGAATTCAACACTATAATAGATATTTTGCCATTGCTCCCAGTCTTCCAGCTCGATGTAACCGCAGCCTACTCTATGAAATATGAATCGGCCATCCAGTAAATGACCTGTCTTCTCAACAAATATACCCAAAACAAAGTCGCAAGACTTAAGGGTGGCCGGATCTCTCCCACTATCAGCCATCAAGGGGCAAAAGGTCACGTGAGCACCCTCAGTGGGATTTTGATAGTCATCCAGGAAAGCCGTGAATTTTCTGGCGCAGTCAATGATTCTGGAATATGCTGTTGGGGCGAAGGTATAGACCGTACCGCCGCTCTCATCACGATGCAGCTGCAACTGTCCTTTCATTTCATAGACCTGAAGTTGGAGCAGGATGGTGGAAATTTGCTGATGACCTGTGCCTGGGCTTTGTATCACGTACCTTTCGAATGAAGCGAGGGGGGAGGTAACCATTGTCCCAAAGACTTCATGCTCGAAAGATATCGGTCCGTCCATAGAGGCCCAACTCCAGGAAGGAAACTTAAGCCCGTTGGTCCATCTCCCATCTGAGGCTATTTGAGATCTTCTGGTTGCCCTGCCCCTTTTGAGGTTTACGTGTATCCTGCCAACACTCCAATACAAGCTTCTAATCAAGCTCTTGTTGAAGTGGCCCCAGATGCATATATCGTCCATTGCCTGGCCCAAACGTAAGGCCACTGCAGACAACGCCACAAGCTTGTCTGATTCTGGGAACGTAAGGTCACGGTTGGTATATTCCTCCACAACTCGGAACCAGACGGTGGCGAGGGTCCAATTGTCTTTTGCCTCTATCGTTGACGGGACCGACGTCAGTTGCAGACCTTGAAAGAAGTTATCTTCGAGACTCAGACCATCCGGGAACGACTCGCATGCGTGTTGGCATTCGGCACAGCTCCAAAACAACTCTCCGCAACCGAACCCGAGAACACGCGGCGACAACAATCTTTCTTGCAACGCCCACCCTCGGGAACCCAGTGGTTGGCGATAGAGCGCGTCTTCATAATAGCTAGAAGAGAAGACGACACATGAATGATGAATGGACTCATCTCTATCGAAAATACATCTTGTATCAACTTCAGTGGGTGGCATAAAAGGTGGCACACCCCCTCGGAATGTACTCTTATGTGGATTTGCAGCTCGGTACAGCGCAAGGCAAAGTATGCTGTTTGAGTATACGTCCGCCATCCGTGAGGACTCATGGGCCCAGTCTTCAGTACTTCCGGGCCCACTCTGAATGATACACAGCAAATCGATCCAGATGTACAAGATATCGAGGCATCGTACGGCTTTGAGAGCTTCACAAAAAGCTATCGGAAGCTCATCGTCGGCGATCCCTGCCCGCAGCCTATTTTGGTTCCAAGCGGTGAGACGGAGGAATGAAGGATTCGAGCCCCAACAATAGCTGAGTGCAGCATACGGCCCAGAAATCGGTGTCGTCTCGGGATCGATGAGCCGCATCTATCTCCAGCAGACGGGTGGGATACGACTTTGGTTGGCCTTTGACGCGACCTTCTGCATGTCTTGTCAAGCACGTACTCATCCAATACCGCACCGCCTTCAAGGCTTCCGGTTCAGGTATGATGCCGTTCCTTACAGCGACGCTGGAATTGACGTTTACGGATGATATTGGATAAACACGGAAGTGGCGCGAGAATATACCGCCTGTCTGATATAAAATAGTGAAAGTGAGCCGAGCAAAGGACTCAGAGCCTGCTCGATTGAAGGCAGTCCGATACATCCATGGGCCCGTGAAGATATCGAGTGAGTCATGCATGTCCAGTGTTCGAAGAAGCAATTCGCCACAAATACGACACCCGCTCGCGGCTGACCTGGAGAGTGAGATGCTATCTTGATGATGGATCTTGTATCCCAAGTCGAACGCGATTCCGTTGAATGTGAGACCACGGAAAATCGGCATGCATACATTGCAAAGCATACTTCTCCAAGTAAGATACCAATCCAAAAAGTTCGATGTAGTTGGCGCTGGAGTTGAAATCGTCTCCTGATCTGGTACTACACTACTTAGGTGAAGTTGGGAAGACTTAAGAAGACCACGTCGTGGAGTAGCGAACAAGACTCGTAGTTGAAGACATTGTTGTATCAGAAATGTGATGTTGCTTTTCTATGAAACCGACGAATCACTTCGAATAAGAAGATGATTTCTCACCGAAAATTACCACGTTCTTTCTGCTGATTCGTACATGTGCCATGAGATCTTAACGGACTACCATTGGCTGCCTTAGTCTTGTCGTCAGTCCCGACTCTGCGGAACGCCACAAATTTAACTTCATGTACGCTGGAGGTGAGTAGACTCCCTCTTGTTTGAAATATCCTCTAGTCTTACTCCAATAGTGCTGATCAAAGACGATACTAGCAGAGACGGCCATACTGCAGCCTGCAGGCGCCGGTAATGATCGGGTTTGAATCCACTTTAGAAGTAACTGCCCGACCACGGAAGATGAATGGTTCCTAGATGATAAAACGATAATTTTGATCAGTACAAGGGCTTAGAAGAAACATGATAATATCAGCATGGCAGAAGGCATGCCAGCCTCTCATGAGAGTTGAGAATTGTGCATCAACGCTAAAAGGCAAAGACCCATTCTAGCTTTTCTTCAAGGTTCCACTGACCTCTTAATCTATGGCCTCGAAACACTTTTCTGCAATTTCAATCAGCACAATTGCTCGGATTTTGAGATCCACGGACTATGAAGTGGCATTGACCCGATTTCTCCGACCTACTCGGGTCTCGTGGAGGCGGTGAATGTTGGATACTGTAATCTCTTTAAGCTTTTTATTTTCTCAACCCGGTGGGATGTAGATTGCATATTGGGTCACAATCTCGTTCTTCTCGAATTATCTCTGAGGTAAGTGAGGCGAAGCTAGAGTATATAAGAGCCGCAAGGTTGCAGCTCCGACTGATGTAGTATTCAATACTCATGCGAAAGTACACTCCGTCCATTAAACAATTCGCCAAGCGCTCATCCGATTGACCGTTGCCATCGACTCATCTTCAAAATGCTCTCACAATACATCTTCGTCATCGTCGCGTAAGTAACTTAGCTGAGCCTCTATTAATTAACCCCTGCCAATATGAATACACGCTTACCTTGTCACCCACAGCGCATGCGCTGCCGGCTCGTTCGCATCTATCGCGACCTGTAAAGGAAGCTTCTACGCCGGCGCCTGCCAGGACATCTTCGCACCTGGAGCTCGTCACGACGCACTCACGCAGAGCTGCTGCCAACCTCCCCATGGCACAACATATCATGATGGCCCCGGAACATTTGTTCGTCCTTCGCTACTTAGTTTGGTTTAACAGAACAATGATAGCTGACATCTAATCTAGTGCTGCACCAATGCTGACTCCTCCGCCATTGCTTACTTGTCTTCATGCTGTTCCAACGGCGGGAAGAGACAGATCAACTTCAACCCCGTGCGGAGCGACTGAGTTCTTGATGTCGCAGGTCCTCTCTAGTGTATCTGAGCGAGGCTATTGGCAATAGAGCTGAACATGAGGAGACAAGAGGCCCTGCGGACAGGCTATCTGGGCACATGTGTCCCATTATCTTTCTTTTCTTTTCTGGATTACTGATGTTAATTGTGTTGTAAGTCCGCACTACGGAGTATATAAGTATCGAGGGGCGCGGAGCAAGCTTAACAATGCATTGACGCGCGGAAGACTGAGTATTCCTGCTGACCAGACCTTCCTTTCTGTTCGAAAAGGGGCCGAGAACCCTCCAAAGTCAGTGCAAAGCTTACTCAATACCTAATAGCAAAGCTTGATTGCACGCACATGCACTTGTATCTACAAAATTGCCTGGATCGCAAGTCATCCTTGTTTTTCGGTGATGGCTCGTTCCACATTCTACCCAAATCGGGGTGATATATCCGCCCAGGGCCCCATCGCTTGTCATTGTCGGTTCTTGGCTCCCCACGAATTCTATCACATGGCGCTGAGGGACGTTCCGCCTTCCAAATCAAGCGCTCAAGGTGTTCTACTCCGCCCAGATGCTAACACGGGCGAATTATTGCTCCGACTATCATATTCGCGGTCGTTGACTTAAGATATTCAAGACCACTGCGTGTGAAGTTGCAATCATTTCCATGAATGATGCAATCACACTGGACTGAGTGTCTCATAAAGCTGGCCCTCACTGATGCGACTTCCAGCACGTAGTAGTGGCAGGGCTACATCTTTCCGCCGTATGATTACAAACCTCGAACCAGAGGCTCTGTGATCTACTACAACTTTCAATCAGATGAAGAGATCCAGACTAAGTAGGAGTCATAAGATTTTCGACCTTACGTTACTCTACGCGCGGGTGGGATGGCCGAGGCCAAGAGTGTCACCTAGACGCTGATCGTTTGTCATTCGTGACCTGTCAGGCTGTGCAAGGATCAACCCTTCGCTTAGCCACATCGATACTATCTTGGCTTCTGACAACGCAATTAAAGTGAGAAGCAACCAGAAAGTTATGTGGGATTTCCTCCTTTGATAGACAACAATAGGAAAGTTGGCAAACCTAAAAGAACGACTGAATCGAACCGATGTGACCGCGTGAAATGATTCGAGGGGTGTGCGGGCAAGTGGACTACCGCCCACCTTCTCACCTTTACAGTGTTCATCCGGAGTGATCCAACCCCTGGGCCAAGACAACTCAGGCTATGTACCGATTCTCTTATAACACGACCATATTCCCAGTCTTCTAGATAGCCTTTCTCATCATCAACCATTCCATCAACTCACTCAACCCAACCTCAATCACTCTTTTAAGTCTTCTCAAATTCCAAATCTTAAACATGAAGTTCTCAATCGTCGCCGTTGTCCTTCCCCTCATCGCGGGCACGAGCGCTGCCCCGTCAGTCGTTGAGCGCCAATCCCCTGCATGCGTGGCCTACAGCGGCAAATTCCCCCACGAGCTTGTCTGGGGGCAGTGGTTCCTTTGCTGCAACTACAATGGTCCTGATACCGCAGTACGTCAATTTTCAGTCTTCAACAACAATGGCTTTCCCAAGTGGCGTTACGTCTTTACTAACGAGGCCATAGACCTACCAGAACTGCTGCGACAGACAGGGTGCGGGAACTGGAAGCGGTTTCCCCGGGTGTGCTTAGACTAGGAGCTTATGCATTCGGTTCTTGTAAATAAAACTCTCGCAATGTTTGCGGGCTTTCACAACAATCAACTCTAATTGCCGCCACAATTGTTTTTTTCTATACCAAATTCTAGCCTTTTCAACGAGAAAGCTAAAATATCATTCGCCATGGAATGGAAGACTTCGCTGAATATTGCAAGTCACTTCACCCTATGCTAGTACATTTCTGTAGCGGCAAAATGTTGAACTTGCTTTCGTCAACAATCAGTATCAAGGTGCCATGCTTCCATAAGTATAATGACCACGGAAATAAGGACCACAACAAACTACTATAACATACAAGTCAACACGCACTGCATAGCGCTTCCCGGAGAGCTAAAGTGGCGTACATTGTCGCGCTTATACGCGCGTTCACGGCAGTATTTGTTCACTACAACTATACTACACACATTTGCTATATCAAAGCTACAATGAATTTACTCGCGAATCGTAATAGTCGCGGCTCGTCAGGTCATATAACTCGACCTGCTTAAGCCAGCTCATTTACGGCTAGCAAACCGCATCATACCTGCGCCAACGTCGAACACAGTCACGAGGCTGTTCATCATGGTGTCACCCAAGATGTAAGGGCCCTCGCCGCCATCGGTGACACCGAGCAGACAGACAAAGGTGCCGTCACCATTGTCAAGCGGGTCGCTACTCTGGATCAAATCGGCTTTGTCGGCGTAGAAAGTGTGCCCGTTGATCACGATACCAAAGTCTGGTACTGTAGCGTCACAGGGAGCATAATATGCGCCAGAAAAGATGTCGTAGAAGGAGTTGGGAATTCCAGCTGCGAATGCATCGGAGATATCTGGGCAAATAGGTAAGCTCGGCGATCCATGCTACTGGCTGAGCATTGTTGAAGGGTTTCAATTCTACTTACCAGAAGGCACATACATCAAAGTCGTGCCACTGTCGACAATCGTCGGAGTTGTACTGTTGTAAAACCCGGCAGGCTTAGAGACTGCGGTATTCCACTTGCTTGCAGCCAGGGTCTGGTTAGTAGTAGGGGCCATGGTCACGTTCTTGATGACATATCCGTCAGGAAGGATGGTGTAGAAAGAGTACACGGTTTTCGCCTCGGGCCTATGAGATAAGAGGGCAACCTGACTTTATGTTAGATTCCCAGCATGAAGCGTACGTTTCCGCACTGGCACTTTCCAAGCTTTGAATCACTCACCATTCGGATAGGCGTGCTAATAAACTTGCCCTTGGTCTCGACAGGAGGCAATCCGCCGAAAGCCAATTGACCGACCTGAGACTTGCTGTCCATGGCCATGCTAAAGAGATCGGGCTTGACGATGCCCTTCTTTGACATGGTGGTAAAGATAGAGTCGTAGTAGATGGACTTGCCGGTCGCATCATCGTACTCGCTGGTGAGCAAGTCATAGGCGAGGCCGAGCAAGCCGCTAGCGACATTGTCGCCGTTCCAGTAAGTCTTGTTAACCAAGGCCACTTCTTGATGCGGCACCTCGAGACCGGCAAGAGTGATGTCCTGGTAACCCATAAGGCCTGTGGCAAATTCCCCGTCACCGTAGGTGATGTTGAAGTGCACGCCAGGAATGGAGCCATGCTGGAACGTACCGTTGTACGTGGGCCCGAAGTTGCACAATGAGGTCTGCTCGTGACGTTTGCGGGTCAGCTCCGCCTAAAGCAAAATCCTCCCCTGTGCAAGGTCCATGTTTCGTTACTCACGTCGTTCAACCTGTTGCCGTCAGAGTCTTGGCAGATGAAGTCCTTCTGAACAGCCCATGTGTCACTTGATCCAGAGTCAACGATCACTTGGAGAGTCTCGTCGCCGAAGAGAATGCTGGCTATGTACTCGTAGCCGTTCAAGTCGGTCAAGTTTGTAACGTGACCTGTCTTGTACATGCCATTCGAGCCAGGCCCGTTCCGAATGGACTGAATCCATGTCTGAGCCGGGGAGGTACCAACGACTCTGTTTAGTTCGAGAACATGAGGGGAAACTTCCAAGGGTTCGCTGTCGACGTTGCGTTTCTGCAGAGACGATAGGTCGACTTCGGTGATGTCGAACTGAAGGGGTGAACGGGATGCGGCCGCAGCAGAGCTAATCAGGCTCGCCGCCGATGCGATAGCGACAATGGACTTCATAATGAGCGTAGGGGGTCAGTGATGATGTAGTGAAGTCGATTGTGTCTATAGTCCCTGCAAAAGTTGCCACAGGCCAGTTCTGGTCGACAACTTGCCGGCTAGACGCCATCCTTTTATGTTCTTCTGCAACGCGCATTCGGTTGCAAAGATTCGTGATCACGGTTTCACCACATGGACCCCTCATTTGTTGGCCGAACATCCGAAATGTCAATCTTTCATCATTCGTGTTATTGATAAGACTTGGGAGTGAAGGGGAGTCTCCTGCCCGAAAAGGAAGGAGGGGGTCCTGGAACATGGGTAGTGTCTGGGGTACGATTCAAGCTTTGGCTAAGCTTCGTTGCCGATCTACCGAGCCATAGAGCTAGTCTAGACGGCTCTTAAAGACGACGACAGGCGCATACGGCAGTTCAATATCGCCGATTAGATATGATAGATCTTTGTGAACTGAAAATACGGTTGGGCCGACGGTCTTCCATCATCGGATGACAAGTCCAGCTGAAATTGTCTGCTCTTCTGGCGATGAGAAACAGATCGGCAATCCGTTTCAACACTTACGGGCTAGCTTAGGCCGAGGGGGTATCGACTCAGTGATCCGCTTTGTCTCCGATGTTACCTTCAGATAGGCGAAAGTCCCCTTGTCGATGGTCTTTGGGTGCCGATAGCCTTGACGGTTCATTTCGATGAGATTGTCAACATTCTTGCAGAGGCATGGTTGAAAAGTCAGAAGTGAAGGACGACCTGGAAGCTTAATCAATGATCGTCAGCGACCATCCTGGATTGAGAGACGTCTGGAATAAGTGTCTTATATTATGTCCTGGTTGATGATCTTGGCTTACACAGAGATGTCAGAGTTGTTGAGGCCCAGCTGGCAGACGGTGCATGCTCAAAGGCGAGTAATGTGTCATGACTGGATGCAAACGTAGCGGCTGATAAGATAGAGAAGCTCCGGCCCTTTCTTTTTATAGTCGCAGAGGGACTTCTCATAGCTAATACAGCTTCATACCTATGACCCTACTTCAAACTGACTTGAACGCATACTCCCCGGGAGTCTATGTCTCAAAAGGATGTTCTCAATGCTCCTCCGATACTTTGGTAGATTCCTTGCTTCATGCGCTTCAATGACCCGTCGCAACATCCAAGGGACCCAATCATTGACTTCGCCATGCACACAATGACCTCTGCACTCGATCGACATCCACT